GAGAGAGAGAGAGGGGCTTTGTTGGTGGAGAGAGATTTACACCTTCTTGATCTGATCATTCTGATACACCTGCCTCCTCATTTATACACATTTTTTGAATGCCTCGGTTTATCTAGAAATTAGGCCTATGAGAGAGCGAGATTCACAAGATTAGGGTTTGATAGAGAAAGCTTTAAGCTATTCGTGAAGCTAGGGCTGGGAAATAGGGTAAGAGAGAGTAGAGTTGAAAAATAGAGAAGACTGAGAGAGAAGGTTGCAAAGAAGAGGTTTGAAGAGAGTTACAGAAGCTTCGTGGGACTAAGGTTGAGATAGGAGAGAGAGTGGCTTGTAGAAGAAAGAGATAGAGAGAGAGATGAAAAAGGGGGATTTCTCACATCCCTTTTTTCCTTTCTTCTCTGTAATAATACTCAGGTGTGGACTATACAGACTTGCCCGAGTACTCTAGAACTTGTGCGAGTCTCGACTGAGTTCATAGTACTCTGGTGAGTATAGTACTCGCCCAAGTACTATACATATTCCCATTGACCCGAGTGTGTACTTAGAACTCACCTTAACAACCTGCCCTAGTAAGTAACTTTGCCGAGTCCAAGTGGACTCGACTAGGTCTTCAGACACTGCTCCTGTGGGATTCTCATATGTTCTTTGCCTGTTATAAATTGTAATAAAAGCTGTGAGAATATGATATGCTCTAATCTATGTTTAGCAATGGTAAATTGCAGTAAAAACTGGAGAGAGAGACTTTGCATGCACTTTAGTTTTCTTAGTCCGTTATAAATAATACCTTATTTCCTCGTTACCAAGTCTGTAAAATTATTCTTCTTAGTGCCTTTCTACCTCTCTTATGCTGAGATTTTTATGTTCTTAGTGCCTATACCTCCTCTACCAACGTCGTAAGCCCACAAGGATGCGCCGGAGGCCAGGCATCTCTGGTCTACAAACAGCAGCAGCTGCTAGGGTAACTCTTTATATATTTATTTTCTCTCCTCTCCTCCTTTTCATATTTTCTTTCTTTCTGTTTTAAAGTCTCTCTCTGATGTTTAGATTTCAGCATTTTTTGACAATTTTTTCTGATGGATATTTTTAAGGATCAATATCGATTGCTCGGGGAAAATGTTGCTAAAATCAGAACCGATCTTATGAAGGAGCAGCTCTCCACTTTCCGATCCCAATTGGAGGAATTTGCTCGGAAACACAAGGTTTTTTTTCTTTATTCACTTTGTCCCCAAATTTGCTTTCTTCTGCTCCAATTAAGTCAACTGAAGTTAGTTTTCATCTGCTTCAATTAAAATGTTATTTTGTTTGCTCCAAATTTATGTTTCGCCTCTCTCACTCCTTCTTGTTCTTTTTATTGGTTTTTTCCATCTCTCTCTATGCAGTCGGATAGATATAAAGTTGAGAGAGAGAGAGAGAGAGAGAGAGAGAGAGAGAGAGAGGAGGGAGGGAGAGAGAGAGAGAGTAGAGTAGAGAGAGAGAGAGAGAGAGAGAGAGAGAGAGAGAGAGAGAGTACGTACGTACTACTACTAGTAGTAGTAGTACGTACGTTCGTTCGTTCGTTCGTTACTCTCGTACTACTACTCTACGTTACGTTTACTTTACTTACTTACTTACTTACGTT